AGGCAGTGAACTCATTTGACCTGATGTCTCATTATATTAGCAGGTGGTGAACCCGAGAAAACAAGGAGAGTAAACCTACGACCATCTGTTTACTGTGCACTTTCTCTAAACATAGTCAAGCCTCTCAGACTTTTCTACCTGGGTTCGAGGCTGGCACCCCATATGGCCCGTGAGCCCACCGAGAGTGATCCTAAGGACAGAGTCAGTAGTTAAGCCCTACGCCCTGCTGGGTGTGGCCCCCAAACAAAACCAAGGAAACAAATAGGTCGGGGTTCTGGGGCTAGAGAAGGTAAAGGCGCTTGCCTTTGCGTGTGGCTAACTGGGTCGCATCCTGGTCCTGCACAGCAGATGGTAACCAGGAGTGAGGAAGAACTGCCAGAGCTCACTCCTGAGCACTGTTAGGTATGGATAAACTGTCTAAACCCGCAAAAAAAAAATTGGTTTCCAGGGAGATCAAGTTTTAATTCTAGTTCAGCTCCGTTCACTACTGTCTGGCCCTGAATAAGCTACACAACGTCTCTGAGAACTGATTTCCTCCTTTGTGTGAGGGAAAGAACAGTCTCCCTTCTCGGGGTGAAGGGTGTGCATGGTAATGGTTGGAAGCGAACACACTGTGAGTGATCAGCCACTCTCAGAACTTCCCAGACCCCACAGCTCTGAAAGCAGTAGGAAAATGTCGGGAAGCTTTCAGCTCTTAAAATTCAGTTTATCTACAAAAGCCAAAAAGACACAGTGCCCACATTTTGCCCAGGGAAATAATGGCACCCGCCCATCGGTGGATCTATGGGGTCATCACTTATACCGGTGAAACAGAAGCAGGAGAGAGGAGAAGAGGATGGAGGAGAGGAGCCTGCAGTCAGCACTCTCTCTCTCTCTCTCTCTCTCTCTCTCTCTCTCTGTGTCTTTCTCTTTCCAAGGCAGACACCAAGTGGCATGATGTGTGACTGGCTCACTTGCTCCCCTCAGTCCTGGCCTTCTGGACCAGGATCTGAGGCAGTGGGGAGGGGTAGTGTGGGGGCAGGAATGGGGGTGTGGAGGAATCCAGCAGATAGACCAACACAATGTGTGCACGATCTATGCACTCAGGGCCCAGGCCAGTTCCAGTGTGAGAGTCCAGGAAACAAGGTGCGCTCTTGATCTATAGCCCAAGAAGAGATGACTGGATACACTATCGTACATCTACACAATGGAATACTATGCAGCCACCAGGACTAGTGAGGTCATGAAATTTGATAATAAATGGACAGACATGGAGAGTATCATGTTGAGTGAAATGAGTCAGAAGAAGAGGGACAGACATACAATGATTGCGCTCATTTGTGGGATACAAAAATAACACAGCTTATAAGACTAATACCCAAGGACAACAGAAACAAGGGCAGGGATGACTGGTCCATGGTTAGAAGCTTGCTCTGAGTGGTTGGAGGGATGGCAGTTTAGAAGAGAGAAGGGACCACTACGAAAATGGTAGCTGGAAATGAGCACTAGCGCACTGAGAGTTGAAAGTAGGGAGAGACAAACATGATAATTTCTAGTGCCTGTATGGCAAACCATAATGGCCAAAGGAAGGAGAGCAAGTGAGAATGAGGGACGGGGAGAGAGGGGGGAGAGGGACAGGGAGGGGAGGGAGGGAGGGCGAGAGAGAGAGAGAGCGTGCCAGAAATGATGCAGGAATGCAGAAAGCTGGCTTCCATCCCAATCCCCTGCATTTGCTCTCAATCTCACGCTCTCATCCCTTACATTTTCCTAGAAGTCAGAAAGGAAAAAGGGTGGCGAACGCATTGCAGACAGAGGAGGGAATTCCGCCAAGTTGCTCTGGGACAGTTAGTCGGGAACTTGAAGTCAGGATGTGCCCTAACATCAACACCTCCTCAGAGATCACAGGGCAAGGCACAGGGGGCCCTGGGGACACGCTGTGAACACAGAGAGTTTCCTGGTCCAAGGATGGGGCTGACATGGGAGAGCACAGGGGCTCCCAGCCGCAGGTCTCCAGGCACAGGAGCAGGCGGCCAGGATGCTCAGTGCTGCCCTACAGTCTGCTGAGACATCCAGGACACAGCATGAAGCTGGTCTCCTGGTGCAGGCTCATATGGATTCTGTTCTGCATTAGCAGAGGCTTCTGGAGAAAGTGAAGAAGATAAAAAAACAAACAGAGGCCAGAGTGAAGGTACAGTGGACAGGGAGGGCACTTGCCTTGCAGGCGGCCGACCCACATTCAACCTTTGGCACCCCAGATGGTCCTCTGAGCTCTGCCAGAAGTAGTCCCTGAGCGCAGAGCCAGGAGTATGCCTTGAGCACTGCCAGATGTACTCCCCCAAACAATAACAACAATAACAATAAATATAAAAGAAAAAGGCCCTCCCGTTGTTCGTCAATTTGCTCGAGCGGGCCCAGTAACGTCTCCACTGGAGACTTTGTTGTTACCGTGTTTGGCATATCGAATACGTCACGGGGAGCTTGCCAGGGCAAGATACTCTCAGTAGCTTGGCCTTTACCTTTATAAAAGAAAAATGACTCCCCTCCCCCCCCAAAAAAAAAGTAGTGGCCTAGTCTCATACAGTTCAGAAAGGGAAACGTCTTTGCTTGTCTACGGTTCCCATAAGTGACAAGAAGCCCCTTTCACTGAAAAGGTCCTGATCTGTCCTGACTAGACGGTCGCTGTAAGTTTAACACCTAGTCAGTTTAATGCGAGAACTGACAGGTCCGTCTGTCCCTGGGAGATGGAGTTTGGTAAAGGTAAAGGTAAAGGCCCTCCCGTTGATCGTCGATTTGCTCGAGCGGGCCCAGTAGCGTCTCCATTGGAGACTTTGTTGTTACTGTGTCTGGCATATCGAATACTCTCGGTAGCTTGCCGGGCTCTCCGAGAGGGGCGGAGGAATTGAACTCGGGAGATGGAGTTTAAGACAATTAAATAGCACCTGCTTTGGAGAAATCAAAAGCACGCCTGCCTAGGTCAGCAATCTTTAAAAGTCCCTAGCTGGAGTTGGAACCATGAAGTGAAGAGTTGGTGGGGAACCGCCATCATTCAGTGACCAAGTAACTACACATGGTCTCGGTGGCACAAGAAAAAATACCACTTTATCCCAGAGCGGGCCAGTAGCCTAATACTGAAAAGAACAGCATTTAAAGCTGTATTCTATTCAGAATACTACACTGGGTCTATGCAGATTTTTCCATGTAAATTCATTCCAAGAGAATCTTGGGTTATGGCAAATCTAAGAGAACGGTGAGCAATTTAAAAATCCCATTCCTGGGGCTAGAGTGATAGTACAGCAGGTAGGGATTTGCCTTGCAGGTGGCTGACCTGCGTTCAATCCCCGACACCCCATATGGTCCTTGGAGCCTGGCAGGAGTGATCTCTGAGCACTGCCAGGTGTGGTCCAAAAAGGGAGAAAGCAAAACACATAGAGAGATAAAGATGAGGGTAGAGGGGCCGGAGCAATAGCACAGCAGTAGGGCGTTTGCCTTGCACGCAGCCAACCTGGATTCGATTCCCAGCACCCCATATGGTCCCCCAGCACCGCCAGGAGTAATTCCTGAGTGCATAAACCAGGAGTAACTCCTGTGCATCGCTGGGTGTGACCCAAAAAGAAAAAAAAAGATGAGGGTAGAGGGGCCAGCCAACTAGGGAAAGGCCAGAGGAGCAGGAACAGGGAAAAAAGGCACAAACCCAACCGTAGCACCGGAGAGAGAGGGAGTATGAAACAGCCAGGGGAACAGAAGGACGGGGGGGCAGCAGCAAAAGACAGACAGCTGGTCAAAGGTTGAGGGGGCAGATTTTGGAACAGACAAGAGCGGAGAGCATCTTTTCAGCTGCAGTCCCAGGGATTTCAAGAGTGGGAGCTCTCGGGAAGGAGGGCAAGGAAGGCAGCCGGCGGAGACGACAAAGGCTGCGAGTTAAGACAGGAGGCGGAAGGTGCGGAAGCAAGAAGCAGAGAAGAAGGGAGAATCCACACTGACATTTCGGGAACCCAGAGACGGGAGAAGGGAGAGGAGGCCGGAATGCGGCAGGAAGGAGGCGACGCAGGAGGCCGGGTCACACTCCAGCCTCAGGATTCCAATTCACGGCAATCTAAGAGACCTGTTGAGATCAACATTTGTGGCCGAGTGCCTGATACTCGGGTCCGAGCAGGACCAACTAGGCTGAAACAGGAGAGTGGAACAATGAGTCCATTGCTCAGCATCAGACGCTCCTCAGCCGGGGGGGTGCCTTTCCTGCTTACCCCCCAGGCCCTGTGCACGGATCAGAAGCTGAATGCTGGGTTACCATCATCAACGACGACAGACATGCAGCTACACCCCAGCTCGGGCGCCTGTTATCTAGAGCCCAGGTTACACGAATCCAACTAGGAGGCAAACCTTCACCTTTTCCTGCTCAATGAGATTTAACCTTGAGAATTAATAGATCTTTCTGGGATGTGCCTCTCTGCCAGCACACGTGATTCTTTTGGGTAGCTCACAGAAGAATCTGGGAATGCGTGCTCAGACTCCGTGTGATTTCCTGCACAGACAGACCCATCTACTTCACGTTGCCACAGAGCACGGTCAGCCTCTGGGTCTCGAAGCTCCCAAGTCTGACATTTTAGGCGCCAGAATCAACCCTGTTTGCAGTTCTCGATGTGGGCAGCTGTTTTCTAGCATGCAGCAAAGGAAAGCAGTTGCACTAAAATATAGCACACACGGTTTGGATCACAATGGTGGATGCACTGAAGAAATCACTAGTTTTCAATTGGGAAGGAAGTTCAATGGGTTGGTGGGTGAAGTGTGAGTTTGAGTTCTCGGTTTGTTTTTACAATAGAAAACAAAGAAACACTCCCCTTCCCCCCTCCCCCCCTCATGACACAGGGTCCCTTATAATATGGTCTGAACCTACAGGGTAGGCCCAGGCTTGGCACCTGTGTCCGAGACCGAGTCGGACAAGACAGACACAGCACAGATGACAGGAGCCTTAGCAACAGCACAGCAGCACAGGGGACAAAGGCCTCCTGATGGATACTCACTATTTGGTAGAATCAGACAACTGATATTCTCGTCTTCTATCATAGCATTCCTGGATCCCCGGGTCATTCCATAAACTCTTTATTGCATCTACATACGGATTCTCAAAAGCAGACACCTTCTCCACATCCACTTCTCGGACTAACTGTGCATGAGCCTGTGAAGAAACAGAGAACAATAAAGTATTGCAGTTTGACTCTTCGGCCCGTCACGGAAAACCACACGCGAGTGAGGTGACACGTTTCCTTCGGAGTCAGATTCTCCAACCAGCTTTATGAAAGTGAAAATCCAGGCCCGCGTCCTTCCCTCTGGGGAACCCTGGAGTGCTCTGAGGGGAAAGAGGGAAACAGGGGTTGGCTCCCCTCAGAACAACGTGGCTCTGAGCCCCATAAAAGAGTATGCTGAGGGAATGCAGACAGGACGTGCAATTCCCACTGCTGTTTAGTTTACTAAAATCAAGTCCCCGATCCCCCCCACCCCCGCCGCTTCCCCCTATATCATGTTCTGGCAAAAGCTCTCACTGACCAACTCCTCGGGATGGTTTCCGGAGTTTAATTTTAATTAAGATATAAAGTGATGAGGAGGAAGAGCAGTTAGTACAAATAATTTGAAAAACAGTAATCACTTATTCCCTCCACCCCAACTTTTAAAATAAAGTATCTGTCAGGGCAGGAGCGATAGTACAGCGTGTAGAGCGTTCGCCCTGCACGTAGCTGACCCGGGTTCGATCCTCGGTATCCCACATGGTCCCCCAAGCACCGCCAGGAGTGATTCCTGAGTGCAGAGCCAGAAGTAACCCCAGAGCATTGCTGGGTGTGACGCAAAAAGGAAAAAGAAAAAGACTTGTATCTGTACTATCAGAATGAGGATCCTAATCAGTATTTTAAAGGAAAAAATGCTTTTTCACACTTCCATCACTCATTTTGAGAATAGAGGTAAAGGGATTAATTTGTTTTTTCTTTTAAGACTGAAGGGGCTGGAGAGATAGTATAAGGGGTAGGGCACTTGCCCTGCATGTAGCAGACCTGGGTCTGAATTCCAGCACATATGGTCTCCCAAACCCTGCCAGAAGTGATCTCTGAGCACAGCCAGGGGTACTGCTTCCCCCGGCCCCCCAAAAACTCAAGAAGACTGAAGTGTAGCTAGTACAGCAGGTAGGGGTGGTCTGCTTTGTATGTAGCCAATCCAGACTCAATCGCAGGCACCTATACTCCCAGAGTTCTGCCAGGACTGATTCCTGGCAGAATCAGGAATAAGACTTGGGTACACCCGGGTGTAGCCCCAGAGCAAATTCAAAACAGAAAATGCTGTATAATCAACCCTCAAAGTAAACCGCATAACTCACTGCCTAAAAATGTGTGTCAGGTACCATAATGTAAAGATACAGGCAAAATATACACACACATAAATATGCAAATCAACATAACCATTAACTGCACGTTTAAGTCAAAGGGATGATTCTTGATTTTGTACAGAAATATCAACGATGAACTAGGGTAGTGAATGGCTACATAATCACAAGATAACCTAATTATTAGTTTCAAGGCTTAAAAAAAAAACAACAGAATTTTGCTTTTTGTTTTCTACTTTGGGGCCACACCCTGCAGTGCTTGAAGCCTTTCTCATTCAGTTTTAGAAGTCGGATGGGGTGGGGTGTTAGCAGGTCATGGACAACAAAGCCAGCTCGCCACAGGCAAAACATGCAGGGTGGGGTGGGAAGGATGGGGGGTGGGAGGGATACTGGGATCCCTGGTGGTGGGAAATGGGCACTGGTGGAGGGATGGGTGTTTGATCATTGTATAATTGAAACCCAAGCACAAAAATTTGTAAGTCTACAACTGTACCTCATGGTGTCTCACTAATAAAAATTAAAAAAAAAACATGCAGGAGAGGGGAGGAGGTGCTGGAGTGATAGCACAGCAGGTAGGGCATTTGCCTTGCACCCGGCCAAACCAGATTCGAGTCCCAGCATCCCTTATGGTCCCCTGAGCACCACCAAGAGTAATAATATCTGGTGCATAAACCAGGAGTAAACCCCATGCATCGCTGGGTGTGACCCAAAAAGCAAAAAAAAAAAAAAAAAAAAAAAAAAACAAAAACAACAACAACAAAAAACTTGCACTGGAGTCCTGCAAGCTACCTTCCTGGCCCCTACTAGGAGAATTTGTTTTGCTTGGCTTTAGTTTGGGGCCACACCTGGTGGAACTCGGCCGCCATTCCCGGCTCAGTGCTGGGTGCTCAGTAGGCTGAGCCTGGGAATCTCGCAGGCAAATGTCTGCCTGGTGCTCAACAGAATCTTAATCGATTTGACCTGTCAGACACTGTCTGGATCATGAATGCAATCTAGACGTACATAAGATGTCAAAAAAGCCCAACAGAGGGCTGGAATAAGAGTACAGTGGGGGGGCGGGGGGGCATCTGCCTTACAGTAGCGGACCCAGGTTCAATTTCCAGCAGCCCCTATAGTCCCTGGAGCACTGCCAGGAAAAATTCTCGAGTGCAGAGCCAAGAGCAACTCCTGAGCACTGCTGTATGTGGCCCCCAAGCAAGCAAACAACAACAAAAAAGACCAAGAGGTCAGAGCTGACTCTAGATGCTGAGAGCCCGTTTTTCACGTGGGAGGCCTGTGTTTCCTGCTCAGCATCTCTGCTGGTAGTTCCAAGAGTATTTCCCAAGCAGTATAGATGTGTCCCCAGAACTCAAACCAAAAAAATGCCCGATCTCCGACACCATAAAAACATCCATTCTCACTAAATCTGCTCGACAGTGATCTCGAGAAACCAAGTATCATGAGCTGGAGACTCCATCCTCTACCCCGGTCTCAAAAACAGGCCCTGAGAGAGGCCACTGGCAGTGAAAGAAATTCTCCTGGAAAACTCTGAGGTGCCTCCCGCCACCTCCTGTCACCACTGGTTAGCCAAAGATGGGTCACACACCAGTGGCCTCTCCTGTGAACCCAAGGGAACTGCAAATACTCCCTCTGATCCCGTCTCAAACTCCATGAATCGGAAATCCTGAGGACGAGGCATAGAGACGAGTTTTTTTTTTAAATTATTATTAGTGAAACACCATGAGGCACAGTTGTAGACTTACAAATTTTTGTGCTTGGGTTTCAGTTATACAATGATCAAACACCCATCCCTTCACCAGTGCCCATTCTCCATCACCAATTATCCCAGTATCCCTCCCACCACCCCCACCCTCATCCCACCCTGCCTCTGTGCAGGGCATTTCCCTTTGTTCTCTCTCTCCTTTTGGGTGCTGTGGTTTACAAAAGAGGCACGGAGTGGCAATCATGTTCGGTCTAGAGTCTACTTTCAGCATACATCTCCCATCCTGGGAGGATCCTCCGAACACCCTTTATTTGGTGCTCCCTTCTCTATCTGAGCTGCCTTTACCCCTAGAGTGTGCGGCTGGCCTCCAAGTCATGGAGTAAACCTCCTGGTACTTATCTCGCTATTCTTGGGTGTTAGTCTCCTATTTTGTTACTTTATCTTCCCCAGATGAATGCAATCTTTCTATGTCTGTCCTTCTCTTTCTGACTCATTTCACTTAGCATGATGCTTTCCATGAAGTACCACGTGTATATAAATTTCATGACTTCATCTTTTCTAACAGCTACATAGTACTCCATTGTGTAGATGTATCAAAGTTTCTTTAACCAGTCATCTGTTCTCGGGCACTCAGGTATTTTCCAGATTCTAGCTATTGTAAAGAGTGCTGCAATGAACAAACAAGTGCAGATGTCACTTCGACTATACTTTTTTGCCTCTCTGAGATATATTCCCAGGAGGGAGCAAGAAATGTGAAGTGGAGCAAGGAAAGCCTCGTTAGCAAATTGTGCTGGCAAAACTGGAAGGCTACATCCAAAAAAATGGGCTCAGAACTCTGCCTAACACTATGTACAAAAGTAAGATCAAAATGGATTAAAGACCTCATCATCAGACTGAAATCCATAAAGTACATTGAAGACAAAGTTGGCAAAACCCTCCATGACATTGAAGCTAATGGTATCTTCAAAGATGTCACGCCACTGCCCAAGCAAGTGAAAGTAGAGATAGACAAATGGGACTATCTTAAACTAAGAAGCTTCTGCACCTCCAAAGAAACAGTGACCAAAATACAAAGACAGTCTACAGAATGGGAAAGGATATTCGCCCAATACACACCTGACAAGGGGTTGATATGAAGGATAGACAAAGTACTAGTTGAACTCCACAAGAAGAAAACATCCAACCCCTCCAAAAAATGTGGCGACGAAATGAATGGAGACCAGTTTTAAGATGTATCCAGAGGACCCCGAGGCTTGCAAAATGCTGAGAGCCACAATGAAGCATAAGATAACGAGTACACGGTGATGTGATGGTGCCTGATTCAGTGCTGTTCAGACAACTGAAAACTGCCAAGGAAAACAGAAGAGGCTCTCTTGGCAAAAACAGTTCCCAAGAGCGGTCACTGCTTTTCTTCAGGAAGCAATGGATCGGCGTGAAACAGGCTGGATACAGGGGCAGAGTGGTGGGGATTCAGGAGAGGGAGAGTACTGGTACTCACTACTGAAGGCAGCTATTAGCCGTTGCTTTTGGAATGTAGGTCCCATTGTGGCCAGGGGTCCCAATTTTTCTGGGGAAGCTAAAGATCTATGCATTTAAACAGACAACTATGAAGCACTCACTGGAGGTGGGCCGGCTCATACCTGTCCACCAAAGCCCCACCAACAGCCCCTCAACCCCCAATCAGCCACAAACAGGCTCACCTCCACTGCTTCACAAACACCTTCGGAGAGACACCAGCCCATGAACAGTTCCAGGTACCGGGCTGAGAACTCTGGTGCTTTTTCCAAAGTCGGGGTGGGAAACCTCCCCCTAGCCTCCCATAGTCCCTGAAGCCCCAACAGCCACGCCCACCTCCCAGGTGCTGCCATGTCAACTTTTTGGTCTCTGGACCGTGTGTCCACGTAAGTGGCCGCACGATACCTCCTAAAGCCACATACAGCTTGGTAAATTCTTAGACAAGGACTCACCCCTGTGATCAGAGATAACAATGCTCACATCAATTGATTTTCCAGATCTACTGATTTTCTTATTGCAACTCTTATCTAAACAATTTAAATTACAGAACCGAAAAAAAATTATAAAATATTTAAAAAGGCTGAAATGT